AGCAGGCCAGAGTCTACGCGGTTTATCAGACCGAGGCAGCGCAACAGCCAGGTACTATGTCAGGGATGGTTGTGCTTAATGATATTCCTGCTTTCGCTTTGTTCGATACTGGAGCAACGCATTCTTTCATTTTACGACGATGTCTTGATGCCATCGGAGTTCACGCTACCACCGCTATCGATCCTCTCGAGGTGAGTTTAGCCTCGGGACGAAAGATAGTGACTTCAGCTAAAGCTTCAGATCTTAGCCTTTCCATCGGTGGTCGTTCATTGTCTACCGACGCGTATGTTCTCGAGATGAGGGACGTCGACCTTATTCTCGGAATGAATTGGCTATCCTTTTATCATGCAGATATCCGATGTCATAACCGGGAGATTACTCTCTATCTTCTGGGAGACGATTCGATTACTTTCTTTGGCTCCAAGAACCGTTCCTTGCCTCATGTTGTTTCGATGGCGAAAGCCACTAAGTTGCTGCGACGAGGCAACTGCCAGGGTTATCTGGTGAGCCTTGTCGACGATTCTCAGAAAGCACGATCACCTCACGATGTTCCAGTTGTTCGTGAGTTTGTGGACGTGTTCCCAGACGAGCTTCCAAGAGGACCGCCTAACTGGCAGGTGGAATTCTCTATCGATCTCATTCCAAAGGCCGGTCTAGTATCCAAAGCCCCATACCGTATGGCGCCGAAGGAGTTGCAGGAGCTTAAGGCGGAAATTCAGGAGTTATTACGACTCGGTTTCATCCGACTGAGCATGTCACCTTGGGGAGCACCCATTCTCTTTGTCAAGAAGAAGGACGGATCCATGCGCATGTGTATCGACTACCGGGATCTTAACCGGTTGACGATCAAGAACAAGTATCCGCTTCCCAGGATCGATGACTTATTTGATCAGTTGAGGGGAGCCTGTGTATTTTCCAAGATTGATTTACGATCAGGCTACCACCAGCTGAAGATTAAGGAGTAAGATATCGCTAAGACCGCTTTCAGGACTCGTTACGGCCATTACAAGTTCGTTGTCATGCCATTCGGCCTCAGCAATGCTCCAGCAGTTTTCATGGACCTGATGAACCGTATTTTCCATCCCTACCTCGATCAGTTTGTTATTGTCTTTATTGACGATATTCTTATCTACTCGAAGAGCCAGAAGGAGCACGAGGAGCATCTGATGGTGGTTCTCGAAAACCTTAGACGAGAAAAGTTGTATGCCAAATTCTCCAAATGCGAGTTCTGGCTCCATCGAGTAGCCTTTCTGGGTCATGTTATTACTCAGGCAGGTATCGAGGTGGATCCTTTCAAGGTCTCAGCTGTTCAGAATTGGTCGACACCGAGGAGTCCGTCCGAGGTTCGCAGTTTTCTCGGTCTAGCTGGTTATTACAGCAGGTTTATCGAGGACTTTTCTAAGATTGCTCTCCCATTATCCCAGCTGACGAGGAAGTCTGTGAATTTCGAGTGGACTGATCGTTGTGAGGCGAGCTTTCAGGAGCTCAAGAGGAGATTAACTTCAGCACCGGTGTTGACTATTCCCGATCCTTCTCGGAGTTTTACCATTTTCAGCGATGCTTCGAGACAGGGCTTGGGATGTGTCCTTATGGCAGCCGTTGCGAGATTTTTACATTATCTTTACGGCGGTCGTTGCGAGATTTTTACAGATCATAAGAGCCTGCAGTACATCTTTACGCAGAAGGAGCTCAACATGAGACAGCGTCGTTGGCTCGAGCTCGTCAAGGATTATGATTTCTCGATTCAGTATAATCCGGGGAAGGCGAACGTCGTGGCTGACGCCCTAAGCCGAAAGGTGAGGGGTGACTTGACGTACGTCGTTACTCAGCAGAGTCCATTAATTCAGGAGTTCGCCCGGATGCAAATTCAGGCGTTCGATGCACTTCCCACAGCCATTTCGGGGAGTGTCAGTGCTAGTGTCAGTGCCATGCAGCTTCAACCGACGCTGAGGGAGAGAATCCGGCGGGAACAGGCTTCTGACGAGTTCGTTCGAGTCATGGAGGCCAATGTCTGCGCCAGAGGCGTCGAGGGTTTTCAGCTAGGTGCCGATGGTGCCCTAGAGTTCAGAGGCAGGATCGTGGTCCCGAAAGTCGAGGCGTTGCGGAAGGAGATTTTATCAGAGACTGATACCGCACCCTATCTAGCCCATCCCGGGAGCACGAAGATGTATCATGACCTGAAATGGTCGTTCTGGTGGCGAGGGATGAAGAAGGACGTCGCCGAGTTTGTCAGGAGATGTCTTACCTGTCAGCAAGTCAAAGTCGAACATCAGAGTCCGATCGGCCTCCTGCAGCCACTGCCGATTCTGAGGTGGAAGTGGGAGGAAGTCACGATGGATTTCGTTATGGGATTACCGAGGTCGTCTGAGCATCACGACGCTATTTGGGTCATGGTCGATAAATTGACTAAGGTCGCTCATTTCTTACCCGTTTCGATGAAGATGTCTTTGGATAAGTTGGCTGAGATATATACCCGTGGGATCATCCGACTCCACGGAGTGCCCGTTACTATCGTATCGGACAGAGTTCCCAGATTCGTTAGTCGATTCTGGCACATTTTACACGAGGCGATGGGCACGAAGTTAGAGTTCAGTTCAGCCTCCCATCCGGAGACAGATGGTCAGTCCGAGCGGACCATTCAGACGCTGGAGGATATGCTTCACGCTTTGGTTATTGACAGGGGTGCTAAGTGGGAGTCGTTGTTACCGTACGCCGAGTTTGCGTATAACAACAACTATCATTCTTCTATTCAGATGGCTCCTTACGAGGCACTTTACGGTCGCAAGTGTTGTACCCCTCTTTATTGGGACGATGTCGGAGAGCGACAAGTACTCGGTCCCAAGATGATCGAGGAGACGGCAGATCAGGTCGAGTTGATCCGGCAGAGACTCAAGGCAGCTGAGAGTCGACATAAACCTTCAGCCGATCATCATCGACGAGACATTCAGTTCGAGGTTAGCGAGCCAGCTTTTCTCAGAGTTCGTCCGATTCGCAGAGTCGTTCGGTTTGGGAAGATAGGGAAGCTGCACCCTCTTCATTGGACCGTTCGAGGTTCTCGAACGAGTAGGCGAAGTCGCGTATCGATTAGCCCTACCTCCCGAGCTATCAGGCATTCATAATGTATTTCACGCATCTATGTTGCGTAAATACGTGTGCGACCCCGATCATGTTATTCCCCATTCAGATATTCAGGTTCAACCAGATCTTTCGGACGAGGAGCGACCGGTAGCTGTACTTGACCGTCAGGTTCGTCGGCTCCGGAAGTGAGATGTTCCCCTCGTGCGTATTCAGTGGGATCGCCACGGAGCTACTTGGGAGGCGAAGTCCGATATTCGCGCTCGTTTTCAAGATTTTCAGTTTTGATGTACATATTCTCTTGTTCTATGTACATAGTTCATGTATATTAAGTTATGTTTTGAATTTCCGAGGACGGAAATTTTTAAGGAGGGAGGATTGTAATATCCCATCAGTTTATTAATATAAATCATGTTTTAGTTCCGATATATTAATATTGTCGAGTATTAATCTTCGGAATTAATTATTTCAGTCAAGATTACCCGAAATTATTTTCGACGTT